TTGAGTAGGCATGCACAAGATTTTACTAGGCCTATTATGCTCAGTAAGATTTACTCCCTGGTGAGCATACAGTATAATAATGACATGAGGTGTCAGACAAGTGGTTGGATTAATAACAACACAAATCTATGTATTTGCCCTAGGCAAAGGATTTATTTCAGGCCATCTCAATTGTGTCAGATACTGCATGTCCAAATTCTTTTAACATGATGTTAAAATATCCCTATAAAAATGGCAAAGTGTAAGAGTCAAGCACTACTGACACCTCTGGAATGGGAAAGACAGTAACTTCCTCTGTGGCAGGAACTAAATTCCTGTATTAGTAAAGCATGCAACATGCTTTCCGGTGTCATGTAATAGAGCTCAAGAGCCATGTGAAATAGGAGGAGCTTATCAACTACTTTTGGCTGTTTCATAGATCAACCAGAAGCAATACAGAACACAGGAGGAAGAAGAAGAAGAAGAAGAAGAAGAGTTTGGATTTGATATCCCGCCTTTCACTCCCTTTAAGGAGTCTCAAAGCGGCTAACATTCTCCTTTCCCTTCCTCCCCCACAACAAACACTCTGTGAGGTGAGTGGGGCTGAGAGACTTCAGAGAAGTGTGACTGGCCCAAGGTCACCCAGCAGCTGCATGTGGAGGAGCAGAGACGCGAACCCGGTTCCCCAGATTACGAGACTACCGCTCTTAACCACTACACCACAGATTACGAGACTACCGCTCTTAACCACTAGGACCAATTGCTAGTACAACTGAGACACAGACAGAGATCACCCAAGAAAAAGAAAATAGCTCACACCTCTCCAGTAACCCTCAGTCTCAGAACTATTGCTTTCAGACAGAGAATTGTGTTTTATTCAAAAAGTAAACATGGCAAGATATTGCACTGGAATGACTGTTATGACCCCTTGTGGCCTTAAACCAATTTCTTATTTAGAGCAGAAGCCTTTTCTTTTTTTTTTACATGAATACCATCTTACAGTAAGTGTACTTTTGATTACTGTAATCACAGGCAGATTCTTGAGTCATAACAAACACAGCTATCTCAGAAACAGGGTGAGGGAACTAAGCTGCATCTGCAAAATAAGCCCAAATCATTAGTTAGTCCACCCCTTCATTATAAACAGACAATAGACATGGATCGCAAAGCCCATCTGGGGTACATTCAGTACTCTGGACACTAATCAATCATTTTGAATACATTAAAAATCAGGATACTGGAAGTTTTAAAATAACCCAAATTTCAGCAAAACAAATGATTCAGTTATATGACTGCAACTGGTGTGTTTGTTTTAATATGGTGAGAAATAATTCTTAATATATTGGACCTTTTGTTTTTGCATGCTGGATGAAAGGGGTTTGCTCTTGGCTGTATTTCAGTTCAAATCTGGCTAGGATTATTCCCTACAGCTTTCAAAAAGCTATTTGAACTATGTACTGTATTTAAAAGGTCCTCCCCCAAATGGTGACTGAGCAGAGAAACAAAACCATGAATTCAAACCAAGGGTATGTAAAAAACAACAAAAAAGAAACTACAGCAAATTAACATTCAGCTTTTGAAGCAAATTATTCAGCTATTGAGACAAATCCTTCAATTAAGCTTTGTCTAAAGATTAGCAATAGACCCATTATTGTTTGATTCTTGTTTAAGAGGTGGGTAGGAAAAATACTGCCCTTGAGACAAGTCTCAGCTGTCACAAAATGCCACAACACAGCATCATAGATGTTAGAAACATGCTGATATTATGCTTGTTAGCAGAAAAAATATTGGCCAAGTCTCATGTAGGTTCTGAACAAGGGATTAGCATAATAATTCCTGTAACAAGCATGGTGTCTGTTTGAGAGAAGAATAATCAGCCACCTGGGCTCTTCAAGATCAAACAGGTATAGGCAGACTAAAAATAAACAGTAATCAATCAGTTTGAGCTAGCGGCTCATCTCCCAGTAGACAAAAACTGCTGTTTCCTACTTATGCCAATTTTTTGCCACCCAAAGAGAACAGAGTGGCCAGCCTGTCTATCTTGGCTGTCCTCAGAACAGCAGCAGTTCAACACAAATAATAAATATCATTTAACGAAGAGAGACAGGAGAGTCTTTGCTTTAAGCACAAGGAGGAAAAGGAGGAAAGTTGATCTTATAGCTTAGCCGGTTTCACTTCATGCAACTAAAAGGGGATATATAGACAAAGTCATTACAAGGACATTAAACTATACAGGTCATTTAGGATAGAAGAAACTCATTTAGTGGAACAAGTGCTCATCAACACAGGTGAGGGAGACTGTCAGTAATTGCAGAAGGCATTTCATTGTTTTTTAGTTCATCAGGTTTTAAGTTCTGCACACTACCCACAGTATATCCAGATGAAGAAAATCAAGCTACAAATGCTGTAATAAAAAGCAGCCATACTCATGCAAAATGTTCCATTTGGGGTTATGTTGAGCCTATAACCTGCAGACAGCAAACTCACTCTCACAGGCGATTGGAATAGCAAGGCGATTGGTCCATAACCAACCAAGTCCTATGTACAGGGCTTGTTAGATACAGATGACAAGAATAAAGAAATGACCATAACGACAGCTCTGTTGGACAGCGAAGTTCTTAAGGTTCCCTTAAATTATAGAACATTATAAAATAATTATACGACAACTCCACATACGGTAAGCTCTTACCGTTGCACAGTAAAAGTTCTGTTGTAAGACAGTGACATTTTTGGCTTTTGAAAGTGGTTTGATTTCTGGATGAAAATACAAGACTGCACAAGACTGCCTTGGGGAGGGGGACTGAAAGGTCTTAAAACTAAGACAGCATTGGGTCTTTTTACCTCTTCTACACTCCATAGATGGAAAGATCCAGGAAAGCCACTTTTACTAATCCCCCTGTCAATGAGGCAGTAAAGTGGCATGCAGAATGGTTTCTAGAGGAGCTACTGTTGCATATATTTCAGCTGAGAGAAGCTCAATGGAGCCAGAAAAGTTTGTTTTAATATCTTAGGTGGTTCTTTTCATATTCACCTGAGAAGCATTTATCGAGCAAAGAAGAGTATAGGGAGAGTTACCATTTTATCAATAAAGCATCTTTATCAGTGGTTGTTTTAGGAACCTCACTGGAAAGTAGCTGCCTTTGTAAGATTTGGCAGATTTCATCTGAAGGTTTCTGAAAGAATCATCACAGGGAAAGGGCAGAAGTCCCAATCTGCCCTAAGGGAAAGCTTAAGTGGTAAGCATTCTTACTAACACCTAATGGAAAACCCCCACAGGAAGAACAGAGCTCTGTTTCACTTCAAAAGGCCAAGGTCACTTATTTGGAATAAATGAAGGCAAAGATGGGGTGGTGCAGCTTGCTTTCATAATAAGGAAATGATTTTGTTCATGCCTTGAAGCAGGGTGTGCATATGCAAATCAGAATATAGTATCTACGTGAGTGAAGACCTTACTCTCACCAGGGAAATCATGTCAACTTTACCAAGTGAGTGGGCTGTGGATAATTTCCTTTTATTAGGCAGAACATCTTCCTACTTAGTCAAATTATATTCTGGAAAAGGGAGAGATCCCCTTCTTTCCTAACAAAGAGGGGTGGGGTGTTAATTCTCCTTTTGATGGGGGAAAAGCTAAACCTTGAAGGGTAAAAGGCAAGTTCTCCATTATGTGAGGAAGGCTGACTTGTCTTCTATTATATGTGGTCAGGGGCATCTATGTTTTAAAATGAGCTGCTTCTTATGTGTATGGATGACTGTTGAAGGAGAAACAACTCCTCAACTTTGAAATTCCAACGCCCACCCTCACTCATATATATTTCTCTTAAATATCATTTAAATAACCGCTCCACTTTGAAAAACCTACATCCCCAGCACACAGAGGGGCAAGCCCCTCACACATAAGCCTACTGACTTATAAAGGAGGAGAACATCCCACATCCTTTACATTTGCTGGGGGAGGGTTCTGGTTAACAGAACCTCATTCACCTTTACATGGGTGGGGACAGAAGTAGGTGTTCCAAGATGAAGGGGCTGGTTCTGTTTTATGTGTACACATGGGGTTAATTTATTCTGTTTTAGCCTTTTCCAGCTTTTCTTTCAAAATATGCACTCAAAGCAGGATACAAATGTTAAAAGTAATATCTACACCCCACACACGGGGTGACACCCCCTTCTTTATGCACAAGGAGGAAGATGGTACCTAAAATATAGTAACTCATTCTCTTTGAAGGCATGCAGGCATAGATGGAAGGGGGTATTAGTTCTCCGCAAAGGTCGAGGACCCTAACATATACTCATGTAAGAAAACTTTTAGGTGCAACTGCCCCCCCATTGAGAGGAACAAGCGACCTCTCACTATGTACAGCCTCCCTCGATTTCCCACTCCTGCTTAAACATCAACCCACAGCCCCACATAAAGGCAAACCACTCTTTAACATTCAAGTGTGTGCGATTAAAAGAAGCAATTTGCTATCATCCCCCCCACACTTTGTAAATATGGGGAACAGATAAATGAGGTCTAAGGGTTAGGTTTCATCCTTTATTCCCCAAGGAGGAGGGACGTAAATACTTAAAATAGGGAGGTGCCTTTTCTCTCTCTCTTTTTTTTTCCTTTTCCCTTTTTGGCAGGCGATAGAGCAAGTAGGTCTTAGGGAGTGGGTGGGGTCGGGCTTGACTACCACACCTGCGAAGGTAAACGGAGGGAGATAACGGGGTGAGACGCGGGGGGGGGGGACGTGGAGAAGAAGATATGAGGTTGGAGGGAAAGAAACCTTGCAGCCCAACCAAAGCAGATAAACGTGCTAAGCCTCCAGCTTGCCCACAAAGACGACTCCTCTTCCTCCTCTGGTGTGTGTGTTGCTGCTGCTGCGACACGGCTACTACTTACCCCTCAGGGAATCGGTTGATTAAATGCACATTTCTATGCCACTGAATTCATAAAATCTGTACGGTGGCGGTACCAAAGAATGTAAAAGGAAGGAAAGAGTCTCTCTCTCCTCCCCCCCACCCCACCCCCACTTCCTCACCTGGGCACGCAGCTGGGCGAGCTCCGGTCCACCTCCCAGGTGGCGTAAAGGTTCATCTGGACCGGGCGCCCCCCTGCCGTCGCCGCCGCCGCGCCTGACCCGGGAGCCCCCGAGCCGCCTCCCCCCGGGGCCAGAGAGCCTCCTCCGGGGCCGAGAGCGGCCGGCTGAGACAACGAAGGCGCCGCCGCCGCCGGAGGAGCAGGAGGAGGCGCCAGCTGCTGCTGCTGCTGTAGCACCGCCGTCGGCGGCGGAGGCTGCCCTGAAAGGCTCTGTGCAGCCGGGGACGCCGAAGAAGCTGAGGCGCTGGATACCGGCTGGTGCAGCGAAGGCGTGAGCGAGCCCCGCTGGCCGCCGAGCGCCCCTCTCTCCGCCATGGCTGAGGAGGAGGAGGAGGACGACGACGACGAGAGTCTCCCTCAATCCCCGCTAGCGCCGCCTCAGCCGCCGCCTTCTTTCCCCTTCAGCCGCGCGGCTGGGTTTGACTCCTGTTGCCCCTGCAGGCGCGCTCCCGAATAGGAGGAGGAGGAGGAGGAGCGAGCGCGAGGCCGCTGGCGGAGGAGGAGGAGGAGCGCGTGCGCGAGAGGCAGCGAGTTTGAGGAACGGTTGCTTGGCAAAAGGGCGGGGAGATTCGGGGGGGGGAGGGCGGCGGCGGCGGCAGTGGCAGTTGCGGGGCTCAAACCCAAATTAAAGGGGGCGCTCGCGCGCGCGGGATGACGGCGATTGGGCGCCTTGACGGCTCTGCGCGCGCTGATTGGGTGGAGCGATCTATGGCTCGCGCTCGCGCTTTTACAGTGTGTATTTCTCTCTCGCGCACGCCTTTTCCCCGCCCTCTTTTCTCTCTCTCTCAAATTCTTTTCTCCTCCAATCGACCCTCACTTCCTTCCCTTCCCTCTTAACAGGGCGAACTCGACGCCCTCCTGGCTTAGGGGGAAAGCTCACGACACACGTCCCCGTATACACGTTAAATTAGAAACGGGTGGGGGTGGAGGGAATCCGTATTGTGAAGGGGGATAGGGTATATGCTGTATTGTATTATTATTTAAAAGGCATTTATATACTGCTTAGCATTACAAAAAAAATCTTAAAGCACTGTACAGTATAACAACAACAACACTGAACCAAAACACAGCCAAAAACCAGTAAAATACAATAACAAAAGAATAAAACAAATTCGGAAGATTCAGGGAGGTAAAACAGGGTCCTTGCAGTCAGGGAAAGCGGGGCAGAGAGAGAGAAGTCTTCACAATATATCTGAAGCAACTTGATCATTGCTGCTTCACCCATGGCAGAGAGGGAATTATTATTATTATTTATATATTTATATGCTGCCCATCTGACTGGGTTGCCCCAGCCACTCTGGGGGGCTCCCAAGAAAAAATAGTAGGGAATGGCATACTGTATATTTCCCACTTTCTGCAAAAGCCTTCAAAGCCAATTATGACATTTATAAAGTACTTAGACTGTGGCGGCGCAAGAAGAAAATGGGGGGACACAGAAGAACCAAGTATATTTCTAGGTGGACAAGTTGTGTCCCACATGTTAAGATCTCTGAGAGAAAAATAACAGTCTCTGTTGAGGTAGGAGCACCACAGTACTTAAGCCCACCACTTCTTAGTTTGATTTGCTTGCCCTCTCTCCTCTCCTATGGTACCACCCAAGTGAAAGGAAAAGGGGCAACTGAAATGTAAATGCATAATTAGACATAAACACAGCATATATTTGACACCGGAAGGGGGAACAATACAGTACTAATGGTGATTCCCCCCCTCAGTCCAGTTAGCACTGTACTTGTCCCCAAGAGCGGGAAACAGTTAAAAACATCAACACACATTGCTATTATGCAGTGCCTATAGGACCAAAGAGGTTTCCAGCATCTTAAAACCTCACAGATTTATGATATAAGCCGGGGTGGCGGACCTCAGTGCCAAATGTGGCCCTCTGAGCTTCTCTGCTTGGCCCTCAATACTCTCCCAAGGTAACCCTGCCACAGCCCTGCTCTACACACATTTGCATCAAAGGCAGCAGCAGGAGAGATAAATATGTGTGGCAGATGTAGAAATTTATGGCTTTTGTGTGTCTGGGAATGTACCCTACTGTAAAAAGGGCAAAAGTCACACATGCTGCTGCATCTACTTTTGCCGCTTGGCCCACCCCACCCCTGGCATATGGTCCTCATATGTGTCAAGAGCCTGTCCACCAAGGAGAGGATCCTGATTGGCCCAGGATCCCTCTTGCATGGTAGAACTATATATGTATGATGTATAGCCATGTATAGCACAATGTGGCTGCCAGGTGTCACCTCACCCAACCTAGTTATCTACATGCTGCCAGGTATAGTCATAAGGAGTTTTGCAGTGTATTGTCATCAGTCTACCACTGATACACATAACACTATTTTTCAATTTCCTCCCCTGTAGGTGAGGTGATAGATGTACTCACTGATCATGTGCCTAGTCACAATGATGGACTAAATGAGGACCAGTCAACTGAGGCTCAATCCAAAGATGCTGTTAATAGGTGGTTCCTCTGGTCGGATGAGTGGTGTACAGCCCTACCAGGTTCAACTGGTGGCCCAATTGCTCCTCTATCGGGACAGTAATCTGTGCTCTAGTAACCTCCCGATTAGATTACTGAGATGCATTATACATAGGGCTGCCTTTGGTGAAGAATGCAGCAACAAGATTGCTGACAAAAATGAGGCAGTATTGAGCATATAATGCTGGTTCTGGCACAGCTGCAGTGGCTGCCTATACATTCCCAAACCCAATTCAAAGTGTTGGTTTTAACCTACGCAGTCCTGGAAGCCTCTGGAAATCAGTCTCAATTCAAAGCACCAGTGATTTACCTTTGAAGTCCTATATATGGTTCGCAGCCAAGATCTGTAAAGAACCACATGATCTTGCCTACCCAATTAGGCCACCAACATAAGCCTCACAGCTAAAAGAAGTGTGGTTATTTGGAACACAAGTGTTTTTTGGCCTCCTTACTTGGAGAGACCCATTCATCAGCATTCAGCTCTTCAGCATTCAGTGCAGAACAGTCCAGCTTTGATACCTTTTCAGTTTGTTATTAAGTTTTGTTCAGGACAGAAAGGAGGGAGGTAAATATGCCCCCATGAATAAAGTAATAAAAATTGCCCTTTTTAGATTTCATTTACCAAAAAGCGGAACAGAGATCAGGAACCCATAGCCCAGGGGCAAGGAGCCTTTTTCAGCCCATATATTCCCTTATGGGAGTCAGATACCAGTGGCAGGAGGGGTCAGACATAAAAATGGGTGGACCAACAGATTTGATTTGATATATTTCTATTCCGCTTTTCCAACAACAAAGCTCAAAGCTTCAAATGTGAATCTTACCTTGGCACATTAGGTTAGATTCTACACACATTTATATACCCTCCTCTATACTCCATCCAGGCATGCATTACAGCAAGGTAAAAATACCCAAGGCAGGTGCCTAGTGAGTTACAGGACCCGGGAAGTGGGTGTGGCCTGGGGAGAGTCCCAAGGACTAGCTAGAGTTGCCTGGAGGGCCACATTCAGCCTCCAGGGCTGAGGTTCCTCATCCCTGCTGTAGCCCTCCAGATGTTGCAGGACTGTAATTTCCATCAGCCCTGACCACTGGCCATGCTGGCTGGGGCTGATGGGAGATAGAATGCAACATCTGGAAGGCCCCACAGGTCCCCTAACCCTGGAATAGCTGAATACTAGACAGCAGCAAAAACAGCCCCATGCCTGCAAATTTAGCTTTTGGCAAAGCTTGAAGAATCACACTCACAAGTAGAACAGGAAGAGAGGTTTATTGAACCAGTGTTATTTTAAATATTTGCGTATTCATGTCAACAAGCTGAGGCCAAGAATAAATGCTGGCAACTGTTTTCTTTGTTATCTGTCAGATTATTCATCATTCTCATAGTCAGCTGGGTTCTTCCTTTTAAGACGTTCAAATTCTTCGGTTCCCCAGGAATAGATGACATAGGCCGCGACAAAGGCTTAGGAGGTTAAAAAAGAAACACAGTTAGCTTTACAACTACAATAAAAGCAACCAAGACTTCTGTTTATCCAGTTCCACCATTCTCAGTGGTCCCAAAGGTCTTCTTGCTCCCTTGCACATGACTCTGCCCTGTCTCCCTTGCTGTCCCTTATACCTGGAATTGCATCCCAAATCACCTGAGTGGTATCTTTCTCTCTTACATCCTTCAGAACCCTTATCAAAATCACTTATTTATCACCCTATTGGCACAGCCCTTAAGTTCCCATAGTCTACTGTAACAAAGGCTAAATACATGTTACTAAAATAGTAACATATTCTTCTGCTATGAAGTACCATTCCAGCAAATAGTTGGGAATGCAGTACCATCTTTTATAAAAGGGATGGAGAACCTGTGGCTCTCCAGATGTTGGACACCAACTCCCATACACCCTGGACAGCATGGCCAGTGGTCAGGAATTATGGGAATTGTAGTCCAGCAAGATCTGGAGTACAAGAGGCTCCCCCACTCCTGCTTAATAACATGTACAAGTAGGAGTTTTATAATCATGACAGCCCAGGATATGGCAAGTGCTCTGACATTCCTCATTTCCTTAAAGATGCACTGTTAGCTCTACATATATTTGTGTGGCCTAGCCCCATCTGTCTTTTTATTTCTATCCCCCTCTTTGGCTAAAGAGAAAGCCATTTCCAATAATTGTTTTTAAGAAAGAAGAATAGTGCTGTTTTTTAAGATGCCAGTTTGTTTGTTGCCATTTTCTTCTGCATTGATGAGTTTTCCAAGAAAAGTACTGCAATGGAAGCAAATAAACTTATGTATTAACACATGAGTAGCCAATGTGGTGTCCTCCAAATGTAGTTGGATTACAGCTCTTCACCCCTTACCACTAAACCAGGGTGACACCTGGCTTGAGAGCAGTACATGTGAAAAGGATCTAGGAGTCTTGGTTGACCACAAACTTGACATGAGCCAACAGTGTGACGCGGCAGCTAAAAAAGCCAATGCAATTCTGGGCTGCATCAATAGGAGTATAGCATCTAGATCAAGGGAAGTAATAGTGCCACTGTATTCTGCTCTGGTCAGACCTCACCTGGAGTACTGTGTCCAGTTCTGGGCACCACAGTTCAAGAAGGACACTGACAAACTGGAACGTGTCCAGAGGAGGGCAACCAAAATGGTCAAAGGCCTGGAAACGATGCCTTATGAGGAACGGCTAAGGGAGTTGGGCATGTTTAGCCTGGAGAAGAGGAGGTTAAGGGGTGATATGATAGCCATGTTCAAATATATAAAAGGATGTCATATAGAGGAGGGAGAAAGGTTGTTTTCTGCTGCTCCAGAGCAGCGGACACGGAGCAATGGATCCAAACTACAATAAAGAAGATTCCACCTAAACATTAGGAAGAACTTCCTGACAGTAAGAGCTGTTCGACAGTGGAATTTGCTGCCAAGGAGTGTGGTGGAGTCTCCTTCTTTGGAGGTCTTTAAGCAGAGCTTGACAACCATATGTCAGGAGTGCTCTGATGGTGTTTCCTGCTTGGCAGGGGGTTGGACTCGATGGCCCTTGTGGTCTATTCCAACTCTATGATTCTATGATTCAATAAACCCTTAAAAGTTACTAACCTGCAAAATATAGATAGATGATAGATGACAGATAGATAGATAGATAGATAGAGGTGTGTGCGTGTGTGCTGGGGGTTCTCAGAGAGTTTTTTCACTCTTGCAAGAGCATGGTACATTTCTTTTTAAACAGTGTTTTATTGATTTTCAGTTACAAATGAGTTAGATACAAAAAAGTAGAAAAGAAAAAAGAATAACAATAACAAGTTGGAGGAGCCTAGTAATGTTTTATGCTGCAAAGAGGAGGCTTCTCTTTTATGGCAGCCCACTTGGTTTCAATTCTGGGCACAGAGAAGGAATAGAATCTGGCCCCACTCTGCAAGCCCACTCACTCGCCTGCACAGAATTACTTGTTGCCTATGGCTACCAGGCTGATACATAAACACAGGGGTGTGGAATCTTTTTCAGCTGAATTCCCTTCTGGGGGCCACACACCAGTGGTGGGTGGAATCAGAGGCAAAAGTGGGTGGAGAAATGAATGTAAACGTTTGCCTCTGCATACTAGATTAGTTTCTAAACGTGCGCACGCACACCCTCTCTGTCCTCCATCCTGACATGCAAGAAGTGTTGTCAGAATTCAAGGATATAATCCAAGCCAGGGAGAACCAGTCAAGGAGGGTGCAAAGCAGAGCCAGGAGGACAGCGGTCTGGAGAGTCCCAAAGGCCAGAGAGTGCCTGAAAGGCTGCATTTGCCTCTCAGCTCCAAGCTTTCCCACCCCTGCATAAACTACCAAGGCTGGATCCATCTTTTCACTGAATTGTTTGCTATAACCTGTAATCCAAAATACTGTACTTTTAAATAAGTCCATAAGTCCACCATCATCGCCTCCTTCCACTGGTCCCTGTCAAACTGGCCTTCCCATAAAATTGGCTGCTGACGAGTACCATTTTGGTATCAATATTTTTAGGGGAACGATGAAGACTTTATTATTTTTTCTTTGTAGCTTTCAGTGGCTTGTGTAAATTGGGCTGCAGTGATGATGTTCTAAGCTGCCGACAGAATGCTGAGCTTGTTCCGTACTAGTTCATTTTTTGTGTGCTGATTCTTTAAGATCACCACAAAATGTGATTTTATCCAACTCACTTATAGCAGCCACGTTCATTGATTTCCGTGGGTCTACTACTCCAAGTATTTGTTAGTTGGATGCAACCCAGTGTTTTAAAAATATAATGAAGTGTGGTTGTATCATATTTAATTCTTTTAAATGGTATTCAGACTGGTTGTCTCTGCTGTTGCATTCCACTTTGTGAATATATATATATATATACAGAGAAAGAGAGAGTAGTTTTTCTCTGTGTAGCATTTTTAGTGGTTGGTCATGATGCTGCGATGACAGTACGAGACACTAGACAATTTAAAAGATACACAGATGGAGCAGGGGCTTGGAAGCTGGCCCTTACAGGGACCCACCTCAGAGCCTGAATAGGTCATCTCAGGGTTGAGGAGAGTACAGCGGGAGAAGGGTAACACTATGCAAAAGGCTGCTAGCACTAATATAAAACCCGAAGACCTCAGGACTTCATAAACTGCTGTCAATGGCTGCAACAGCATATGAATTCGTTGAACTATTGAAATGCACTACTTAAATGCTAACTATCATTGTCACTGAGGCTAAAGATGACTAATTGCTAACGAGATTTTGTAATTACACTAAGGAGATTATAATTCCAGAACACGTGGGAGAGTAGACTGTTATTGCCACTGTGTACTGACTAAAGGAGATTGTCACCTTGCTCTGCTCTCTTGCTCCATCTAGTGCTTCCAATGTAGAGCAAAGAGAACTGTCTTTTATAAATTGGCACAGGCTGCCCAATAGCCACCAGGCTAAGTTCAAGGTGTTGGCACAAAACCCTGTATGGCTCGGAACCAGGATACATAAAAGAGTGGTTCATCCCCTATATACCCAGCCAGTCACTGTGTTCTACAGGAGAGGGCCTTCTGAAGATAACCATCTCATCAGCAGGTCTGTCCTGCGCAATGCCAGAACTGGGAATTCCCCCCACCTACATGTAAGACAAGCATCATCTCTATTGTTTTTTCAGTGCCTGCTGAAAACTTCTCTATTTCAAGAAGCCTTATAAGTGGAATTTTTTACCCCAGTTGCTATCTGCATTGGATCTGAAATTCTGGGTTCTTTAAATTCTGGGTTTTTAATTTTATTAATTACCTGCTCTTCAACCCAAGATCCCAGGATGTGTTACAACAATTAAAACAATTTATAATCCAGCTGGATACTATCCTGGATTGAACACTTGACTATTTTGAAGAACTCTAATATATATAACCAACAGATGGATAGTTGGAAGTCCTTTTAACCTATTTCTTTGCTTCCTTTATTAGTATACAGTATTATTCCTTTAATATTCTAATCTCTTTGTTATCCTTTCTTTTCTTTTCTACTTTCTTTTTGGGGTTAGCATGCAGATGAAAAGTGATGGATAGTGGATAAAAAACCCTGTTTGGGAGGCAGGGAAGGGAAGATCTCTCATGATGGGAGGCTGGGGAGAAGAAAATACCACTGTTTTAAAACGGGGCTATGTGAGATCTAAACAGTACTCCATCTGATAATCTGGCTGAAGCATTCTGGAACAACTTAAGTTTCCAAAGTAACTTCAAGTTAATTCATAGGAAGCTATTCATAAATGAAATAAATAATAACAATAATGAAGTTCATCTAATCTGCTCCACGCCCTCTTGGCAATATGATGGCAGTGAAGAAACTGCTCCCCCCCATGCCATATGTTGCTCCAGAGATTGCCTTCTTCTGAAACCAACAACCTGAGTACTTCCTTTGATCTTCACTTTGAACATCAATGCACTAATCCTGGAGAAAGAACCAGCCCTCAAGAGTAACACAGCGCACACAAGCAAGAAGCAGCCTAAATAATTTTTAACTTACGAGGCACCACCCGGAAGACCTGTGTACTGAACCGCCTCCAGACATTAAGAATTCCTTTGGAGAAGAAGTGTGGGAAAGCTCTTTGTTCAAATGGAGACAAGCTGTAGGTGATCACATGCCTTACTCTCTCCAAGTTTCCAAAGTGAATACCCATCTTGGCAGGCTGTTCTGCAAAAAGAAACAGGAATGACAGAAAAGTATAGGATTAGCAAAACATTGCTGAAGTGGAGTGCATTCTCCCAGCATTTTAACTTTGCATAGGGGGTTGTTTAAGGGAGTTTTCCAGTGACTCACTTACAATACAGGCTGAAGCAAGACCAAGTATCAACCTTTGACTACATCTGCATGACAAAAAGAGGTTGGCATCTCAGAACCACATGGACCAGGAATGGGGAATCTCTTGCCCCCCAAATGTGGTTGTGCTACAACTCCCACCAGCAAGGCTAAGGGTCAAGGACAATGGGAGTTGCAGTTTTTATTATTATTCCTGCAATTGATTACCTACTCTTCACCCTAAGGTTCAAGGGCAGGTTACAATTCTTAAAACACACTAGTAACATTAAAAACACAACATTACATAACATTAAAAACAACTTTAAAATTCCAGAAATAGGGTGGGCCCTAAAAAAATATACACATCAAGTGTCAAAAGCCAGGGTAAAGAGGTGCATTTTTCCCAGCATTCACCAGAAGCTATAAAATGAAGGCCCAGGATGCACCTTGGTGGGAGAAGCTGCCCTGCTTGTCCAGTAACATCTGTGTAGAACAGCCTTTCCCAATCTTGGGCCCCAAGGTGATGTTGGACTACAACTCCCAGTAGCCCCAATGGTCAGGGATGATGGGAACTGTAGTCCAACAACGTGTGGGGACCAAAAATTGGGTAACGTTGGGGAAACAAGACTGAGCTAGACGGACTCATGGTTCCAGTAAGCTTCCTAGTGCAGGCACCCGGCCCTCCAAACGTTTGGGACTACAATTCCCATCATCCCTAGCTGACAGGACCAGTGGTCAGGGATGATGGGAATTGTAGTCCCAAATATCTGGAGGGCCAGAGTTTGCCTATGTCTGTTCTAGTGGGTGCTGTTTACACCGGAGTAAAGAGAGACCGGGGACCCTTAACAGTGGACTCCTGAATCCTGAGAGTATAAAGGCCGGCGTGACAGAACCCTTTCCAACCACACTCCCGCTTCTACGCACCCGCTCAGCTCCTTGCAGGAAAGGTCACCGCTTCTCACTCCAGCATCAGAAAAGGCAACAGGTCCTCCTTTCCCTTTTCCGGTCCCAGAAAGGTCACTTCCGGTTTAAACGACTCTATAGAATCGCTATCAGGTCAGCCAGCGCGTGACGTATTGCTGAGCATGCTCACTGGCAACCGCTGAAGTCGACTTCCGGCCCTCACACGGCGGACGCGCGGAACGTCGGTTTACGGCAACTTCCTAGTGCTCTTACTACGCACGCGCAGCTCGCTCCGCGGCCGCTGTGAAGTCGGCTGCCCTTCTCTCTCCTTGGCAGGAGAGGGGAAGGATTTCCCCCTTTGCCCTTACCTACAATGGCGGCTCCGAAGCTCTGCAGTAAAGGGGAGCATGCGCGGGTTTGACGTCTGTGGGTTGCCGCAGCCCCGCAAGGAAGATGGCGGCGCTCAGGGCTTTGTGGAGATTGCGGGCACCTTCAGGGTCATGGAGACAGGGGATTGCGCTGGGGGCGGCGCCCAGCAGGTAATACCCCCCACCCTTTCCACACCACCCTGGAAACAGCTTTTCCCTCTTTTCGTTTTAATGACTGAGGGTCTACCGTTACGGCTACGCGGCTCCCTTCCCACCCCGGTGAATTTCTAGAGAAATGTCAAGGTCCTAGTCCTCATGGAAGCCGTGCTATGACGTGAGACCTCTGCCCTCCAATCGCCTTTGCAGAAGGACGCTTGTGAGGAAAGGCGCCCTCTGCATATGCCCAGAGGCAGCGTCTCTGTCCATCGCACCGTGCGTTTCTGTTCAGAGGTCAAAGACTGAAACAGGTTTGGGGGAGAGAAGAGATGAACCTCAATTCAAATGACGTTCTGCGTTGCATGTAGGGCAACCCCTTTTGTCGCTGGGGGTGGGAGTGGGGAACCATATGTTGGACCATAGTTCTTAACATAAATACAGCGGTACCTCGGGTTACAGACGCTTCAGGTTACAGATTCCGCTAACCCAGAAATAGTGCTTCAGGTTAAGAACTTTGCTTCAGGATGAGAACAGAAATCGTGCTCCGGCGGCACGGCAACAGCAGGAGGCCCCATTAACTAAAGTAGTGCTTCAGGTTAAGAACAGTTTCAGGTTAAGAACGGACCTCTGGAACGAATTAAGTACTTAACCTGAGGTACCACTGTACACACACACCCGTCCTGCATAGCTGTCAACGTTTCCCTTTTTTAAAGGGAAATTCCCTTATTCCGAATAGGATTCCTCGCAAGAAAAGGGAAAAGTTGACAGCTATGCTGTCCTGACCGAGGCTGATGAGAGTTGGAGTCCAGCAGCATCAGTCCCCAGGCCTGGATTCACTTTCTATATGCTCTTGTATGGTAAGGTAAATGTATAAAGGTAAAGGACCCCTGGATGGTTAAGTCTAGCCAAAGGTGACTATGGGGTTGCGGCGCTCATCTCGCTTTCAGGCCGAGGGAGCCGATGTTTGTGCCAGCCTGACTAAACCGCTTCTGGTGCAACGGAACACTGTGATGGAAACCAGAGCGCATGGAAACGCTGTTTACCTTCCTGCCACGATGGTACCCAACACCATTTACCTTCCCACTTCTACCCACCTGCTCAGCTCCTTGCAGGGATAAAGGGGGGCCAATTCTCTCCCCATTTCCCAACTTCCTCTCTAAGATTAAATTCCAAAACAAAAAGTCCTTTCCCACCAAAGAAAGGTAATATTTTGGCTGTATCAGTACTTTGTCAAGGCCAATTCACTATGCTCAGTAAAGAAAACCAGTACTTCCAGCCTCTTCCTTCCCACCCTTCCACTTTACTCACAAAAGCAGTTTTTAACAGTTATATATTCCCATATTTGCACCCATTCACATCAAAATGATTTTTGATTACCAATATAAGTAAAACTTTAATATTAATGTTATTTTAAAGTCTGATTTAGCCTAATATTAAGAATGAATATTATAGTTCTCTTTTTTTATCCTGATTTTTAACAAGCTAATATCTTTTAATAAAATAAGTCCACAATTATAATTCCATTAGGTTAGATGTCTTCAACACTCTGAAAGATCAAAAATTTATTTCCCAAAAGTAGCATAGATTCCGAGAGTCAGTCCAATCTTTCTTCCAGAGAGGAAATTTGTAGTATTCTTCCATGAAATAACATTGCAATCCTGCTCTGCTTTGTCCTCCATTTTAAGTCAAGTTTAATCACAGCATAGGAGAGATTCAAGTTCAAATTGAGTTCAAGTCAAGTTCGATGTTTTAAAAAATCTTGAGATTAGTATAAACGAAAGCAATGTGTAATCTTTTAATCCTTATTGTTCATTAGTTAACTTATCTCCCAAGGTAAACTTCATCAACACTTCACTTGTATGTATTTCATGCTCATAGCACCAGGAACGGGAGCAAACTTCCTTTTAACACTCCTGTTCTCCCTCTACCCCACCAAATCAATCAAATTAAACAGTCCTCACCTTTGCAGTCAGCTTTAATATACTGGAATAGTAACCACTTGTGGCTGGATCAGAGGCTTTGCTTCATGGAGCTGCAATGGTTCCTAGTTCACCAGCGCTTTCACTCGGCTTCACCCCCACCCTCTGCACCTCGGGATGGAGAACAGAGACCTGCAATGCCGAAGCGCCGTCTGTGAACAGCAGGACCCCGAGACACCCCAATGCTCCTCTTGGGTTTTGGGGGGGGAAGCGCATCACCCTTTTGCTCTTCCCCAGAGGCTCCGTGAGGCCAAATCTGACAGAGCTGTCAGATCCACCGTCCATCCGCCATGTTGCGGGAACCTGGAAGTGATGGTTTTTCATTCTTTTGCATAGTGCAGGCTTCCTCAACCTCAGCCCTTCAGATGTTTTGAGACTACAGTTCCCATCATCCCTGACCACTGGTCCTGCTAGCTAGGGATCATGGGAGTTGTAGGCCAAAAACATCTGGAGGGCCGAGGTTGAGGAAGCCTGGCATAGTGTATGTGCGCCTTGTAGGTAGGTTCTTTATTTGTTTGTCTTTGTTGGCAGTGCGAGAGGTTGGAATCTATGTTTTAAATTTTGTGTATAGTGCGCTTTTATTTTCGCTCCTGTAAGCCACTTTGGGATGTGATGTGATGAAAAATGTGGTATAATAAATGCCTTAAATACAAAAATAAACTTGTGTTGAGCTGCCAATAAAATAAATAAATAAAAATACGGTGTTGGGCCAACTGACTCAAAGCCAGGAAAACAAATAGGAGCCAGATCTGGTGGATGTCTCCCAAGGTCAGCATCTATCCTAGTGCCAAGGCTTGCCCTACAACACAAGCTAGTCAGCATCCTATTTGCAGGTTCATACTGACTGTTGCTACCTGAGCAGATCTTAACATTTCTTCTTCCCTTCCTTAGAGGAAAACAGTGGCAGCCTGATGTGGAATATGTCCAGCAGTATGGAGGCGCCGTCATGTATCCCACGAAAGAGATGGAAAAATGGGTCCCTCCTCCCTGGAACGGTCAGTTTCCTCCATAGAACTGAATGGAGTCTCCCTCTCATGTGGAGTTTCTCAACGGGATGAAATATAGTATTGTTCTGCTGTATTTATTGATGTAGAAGTGTTTCTCATGCTTGGGTCCCCAGCTGTTTTTGGACTACAGCTCCCATCATCTCTGACCACTGGTCCTGCTTGCTAGGGATGGTGGGAATTGTAGTCCAAAACCAGCTGGGGACCCAAGTTTGAGAAATACTGATAGGCTGCACATAACTAACTTCTACTCGGAACAGACCCATTGTAAATAGAGGGCAGTGACTAACTTACGTCAATTGATTTCATGGGTCTGCTCTTGAGTAGGTTGGCTTCCATGCTGGATCAATTACAGAACATCCACACATAATCAAAATAAAACAATCTCATTAAAAAACAAACACAGTGTGTGAAGAAACTAGCTTTAGAAAGGTGAAATTCTCATTTGTTGCTATGCCCACTTTTGCCTCTGGCCTTGCTCACTACTGGGCAACCCAATCAAATGAGTAGCATAAATTTATGATTATGATTATTATCATTATTGTTATTATTATTATTAGGCGCCTGGAAGGTTCCCCATTCTTTGCCCTTACCTTTGTACAGTAGGCTACCTTCAGCCACACAAAACCCATAGGTTTCTACACCCACCCACCCACCCACCCTTCTCCGTCTCCTGGTCAGCAAGGGGCATCATCACAGTTCAATGACACATTCTAGCCAGAAAAAAACACTTGCAAAAGAGACCCTCAGGGCTGGTATAAGCAGTGTGGCTTGGGAGGGTGTGTGGCCAGCAGAGAGCCCAGAGGCCCTCAAGCCTGAGTTTCCCCATCCCTGGGTAAAAGTAATATCCTTTGCTCCTCCCACTTTCGCTTCTTGCCCCACCCACAGATGTGTTTCCCCAGTTGCTGGCCTACGAGTAAGTGCAGCCATTAGCTTGAGGAAGGGCTCCCTTCTCCTGCCTTACCAGCAAGATGTCTCACATGTGCTCTTCTGACCCGAAACAGACAAGGACCCGCCCTTTGAGAAAAATGTCTCCAATCTGACCGTCAACTTTGGGCCTCAGCACCCTGCGGCTCACGGGGTCTTGCGTTTGGTCATGGAGCTGAGCGGGGAGTCTGTGAAGAAATGCGACCCCCACATCGGCTTGCTTCACCGGGGCACCGAGAAGCTGATAGAGTACAAGACCTATCTCCAGGTAATCGTGGCAGGAGCTGCTCTTGCATTCTGGTCCCGCTTGCGGGCTTCCTATCACGGGCCTCCAGTTGGCCACTGTGAGAACAGGACATTGGGCGAGAGGGGCCACTGGCCTGATCCAGTAAAACTCTTAATAGGAGTTAATAGGAGTTTTACTTAATAGGTCCCCTCGTACCTCTCCTGGTATGTCCCACAGAGGAACTTATGGTCTTCAAATAAAAACATCCTGAAGGTCCCAGGCCACAGAGAGGTTAGGCTGGCCTCAACTAGAGCCAGGGCTTTTTCGGCTGCGGCTCCAATCTGGTGGAACGCTCTGTCACAAGAGACTAGGGCCCTGAGGGACTTGACATCTATCTGCAGGGCCTGCAAGACAGAGCTGTTCCACCAGGCCTTTGGCCAGGGCACAGCCTGACTCCCTCCTTTGGCAATCTTCACAGAACTTTAG